TTTTACCAAGTTTAAAAGTTATTTTACATTTTATTTGACATAATATACATAACATATTATTCAGTAATTAATTTTATTATTTTTCACTTCCTGTGTAATATATTCCATCTCAAATTATTAATTAAGGCATATTAGGCATTTTACAATCATATATTTATAGAATATCATATACGGAAAGAATATAATACTATATATTTGTCAGACAATAACAACGGTTACCATGGCAACACGGCAACTCTCACGGCACTCATTTTCTCGCTGGCTTAATCCTATATATGTATTTATGTGTTTGTCTATTTTTAGTGTCGCATATTGGTTTCATCGAGTTTCAAATCACAACGACTCTAAAGAAGTTTCACTTCAAAAATATATGAATTTAAACATGGATGAAGGAAAAAAAGTGTCTGACCAATCAAGTTTTCGTAAGAAATAATATGAAGTCCGCCAACCCGAACTTGGCCAGCGCGGTGGACTATGATCTGATTCCCCTCGCATTGGACCTGTGCCTGACCTGATGCAGTGCGACAAAACTTAACCGACACTATTTTGTATGCTGCTAGAAACTATTTGCTAGAAACTAACATTCATACACTAAAACATGTGTCATAATCAAACTGACGAGCGAAGTAGCCATCGGTTCAAATGTGCTGAATCAACAATAGACTATTAATGCAAAGCAGTATTATTATTTTATACCCTAAGTTTTGTATGTCAATGTACTATACAAAATAGCTGACGACGAGCTAAAACTTTTTAGGTCATGGCAAATGAAGTATGTTATATGTATATCTTATTCTTATATATTCTTAATAGGAGTATGAATATAGCGTATTACATGTTCGTGTTTGCTAGGAATATATTATGTATTTAAAATTATATAAAGATATTAGCATTGCCCGCGGCTCCACCCGCGTTCAGGTGACCAAAAACTAAATTCTTAGGTCTTACATATTAATATACTCTTACATTGCAGTTTTTTGTACTTTTTCTCAGAAATGAGATATTTTCCCGCGGTAAAAAGTATCCTATATGTTGAACCGGATAACCAGCTATCATCATACCAAATTTCATCAAAATCTCTCCGGTAGTTCTTCTGTGTAACAGACAGACAGACAAAAATTCTAAAAACTATAGATTCGGCCTCTGTATCGATAATAATGTCTAATTCAATAAGATTTTAAAAAAAATATTTAATGTACAGATTCGGCTTAGTTACAATTTTATTATATGTACTTATAGATTTTTTACGAAAAATCATATAATTTTGAAAGAAGACATTAAACGTTAGGTAGAGCCACAGTTTACACCGGATATTTATGTCCCAAGGTTGGTTGGTACACTAGAGTATGATGGCAGTTTTGAAAGCGTTCTTGTGAATATCTCGTTACAACAGCAAGCAGTTGTTAAATGTAATGAATTTTAGCTGTGAAATATCGCGATTGTCACGATGGTTAGGAAACAGAGAAAAATGAGAAAGATTCAAGATTGCTACAAAAGTTAATAAAAAGATTTACATTTCCTTTAAATAAATTGCACAAGAATGTTATTATTCAATTAAGTTTCAAAATATATTAATATTAAAAGAACGTTTATGTTAATATATAGATTGATAAAATGCATGTCATAGAAATTTTAGACTTAAAATATTTTAAAATACCTGAATATGTATATATTATTTATATAAAAGAAACGTATTTTCTTAAATGTACTAATACAATTTTATGTATTGGTTCTATGAAAATAGTAAGAAAACACACATGTCTTGGAATAGGTTCAATACTCAAAGCGGTACTTTTCTAAAATTAGGTCGGTAAGTTTAGTGGGTGAAGTAGTTTGCGATGGTATTATCCAATTTTCCATTCTTAGATTATTATTATATGAATGGAGCTTCGTAGTGCCGCGTGATCTGTAGCATTGACCGCTCACGCGATTCTTGTTCTACGCATACCCTATTCATAGAATTTTCTGTATACTACCTTTGTATTTTATATAATAATACGTGTGAATAAATTTTCTTCAATTTCCTTTAATTTAGACTATTTTATTAACTACTATCCGCTCACCCTCGCTTCGCTCGGGTTCGCCTCTAGGAAAACAAAAACAAACCTATCCCACGGGAACCGTACATTTTTCCAGGATATCCAGATCCCTTTAGCCGTAGTGGTGTGAAAGAGTAACAAGCATCCATGCTAACAAACTTTCACATTTATAATGTAAAATTATTAACTATGTTTCAGTAACACATACAAATTTTATAAAGTTTTAGACAAAAAAGGCTATTAAATAATTCCTACTGATTTTGAGGATGCTTTTGTTATATAGTTTTAGTTATTACAAATATCGATGTAAAGAGCTTCTATAAAAAAGTTCCGTTGAAAAAAATATTCAATCAAAAAAAGTGCGCTGTTTTAAAAGATTAACAATTGACTGTTTATAAAAAAATTACTACATTCAATCAGCGACTGTAACCTACAATTGATACTCATAGTAAGAAAGTGGAACAGTTATGAACCACGTTATTTAACTTGTATTGTTTCAAGAACATCTCGTTTTTTTATCTTCCCATAAGAATAGTAAAATTAGCTATGAGATAATGACAAGTCATGATGTTTAATTTCAATGAACGTTTGGGCGGTACCTTCCTAGAAGTGCAATAGATGGTTGTTCTACTAACCTTATTATTGATATTGGTTATGCTCATTTTGTCTTCCATAATAAAACAAACTAGCCCAAGATACCGAAAGTTCACTTGTGTTTTAAAAGATAAGATTACAGTTAAGCATACAAAATGAATACAGCGCAAGAGATTAAGTTGAAAATAGAGGCTTAGATTAAACGACAAACAGAGGTTTAGCAACATCAAATTTTCCGGATTCTATTTAGAATTAACAGAAAGTCAACAAAACAGAGGATTAAATCACTGAATCTAGAAATTCTTAAAATATTCATTGGATGGTTGTTTACTTAAATAACTTTTTAGTAAAGTTCTACGAAGCTTTTCATATCTATCTATTATTTGTGCGACCTACTACATTCAGTTATGAATAAATAAAGTTTATCAATAATATCAACCTAAATAGTAAATTTATTTCTGAATATAAAACAATAAAAATATTTATTGCTTACGCCCTTCAATACGTCTACTGAAACCGTCTGTTCCATTATTTACGTCGCCACAGTACTCGGCTCTCGGGGTAATGACATTACTTTCTCCAATAAATATGAATTATTTGATTTGGAAATATCGTGCACGAGTCGAAACTAAAAGTTATGTGAGATTAAGCCGTGTATTTAATAGTAAGTACTAGCTTATCTCTATTTATTTGAGCCCGTCAAGGTTTTTTAAGCTTCATTCGAAAAACATGCTGGTATTTGTTGAGGAAGTATTGAATACAAATTAGTTAATAAAATACGATGACAAAATAAAATTTGATAGTGGAGGAGCTTTAAGTTTGTATTAACGCCGTATATCCTCATCGTCATGCAGCGTGGTTGCGCAGGCGCATTAGCCATGCGAGTGGCGATGTCCACAGCGGCACTATCGATTGTTTACAGTCCTGCACGTTTACTTGTTCTTGTCAAGGTCGATTGATATTGAACTATGAGCTTTATTATATACGTTGGAGAGCTGTGGTCCTCAATTTTGAAGCGTATAAGTGGCGAGTAGTGGCCACACGGACCGACTGTGATATGCCCATTTCAGGAGTTTAGTCACGAACTTACGCACTCTAGCGTGCCACTTTAGAAGGGGATATCGACTTTGAACGATGGTTATGACGTTAGAATAACTTTGAATAGAGTAATTAAGTCATAAATACACAGGGCGAATAAAAGTTTCCCGAAGAATTTATAAATATGTAATAATTTCTATTGTTTACAGCGTATTAGTATTTAATAAGTGTACTAACATATTCCAATGTTTATATCGGCACATCTTTGACAGTAAAGTATGTATAGTATATACAAAGAATAAAATATTATAACATTACAGAAAATTCTCGTATATGCACATGAGAGCTTAGATATTAGGATTATACAATAATAAAATACAATACCTACTCTACCATTTTGTAAACTCGTATAATTGAATTATTAGCATGTTTGCGAGCCGTGTAATCTTATAAGTCAACACACGCGCACTAAGGTCTACTGAATATTAGTACACGCCAAGAGGAATACCAAATTATTTTTCGTAGTACCCGATAGTATTATAACGACCACATTCATTTATACACATTATGACAGAAGAAGAAAACTATATAAAAACATGAAGAGTTCGCAATATTTAATAATTTAACAGTTTATATAATAACTAACGACTCAGCCTCGTTTCGCTCGGGTTCGTCCCTAGCTTGCTTTCCAATACAAACTTTCATCCCCATTTTCACCCCCTTAAGGGATGATGTCCGGGATAAAAAGTGTCCTATGTCAATTCCATTCCCAGAATCTCAAACTATCTTCTTACCAAATTTTATCATTAAATCGGTTCAGTCGATCTAGAGATTACCCCCTACGTCACAAACTCACATACTCACAAACTTTACCTCTTCATAATATTAGTATAGATAGGTAAGTTTACATTATTACATATTATATACTAGCTTTTACCCGCGGATCTCCTCGCATAGTTTATTTATGCATGAATACTTCGCTCCTCAAATAAATAATAAATAAGCTATAAAATACAAAGAAAATATTTTTAATAATAATAGTTTAAGGCGAAAAAAATATTTAAATAATATTAAAATATCTCTTCAACTTAACGTTTAATTAATAACGTTAGGATTTCAAATTATAAAAAAATGTATACGCGCCGCCGCTACATATAAACTGTATAACTGAGTATATTTTTTTCTCTTTCGTAGTCACATTCGTTTTATACGAGTAGTACATACCACATATAGTCATGCTATTTAAAAGTAGTCGTTAAGATGTTTGAGCGAGCTTTAAGTGTAAAATATTGAATCATATCTCTGATGATATTCATTATTCATATCATAATGATTGCAGCAATCAATCCTATAATGGTATCGTTCAAAAAATTACTTACGTCACTGGACGTTCCAGAAATATCGCCGCAGGCGCAGGTAACGTCTAACAACGTCATTTATCCGACCTATCTTTTCTAACGAATGATGATTTCATGTTTGTAATGTACTGCATAAATCTCGGTGCTTTCAAAGGGATCACTTTCACTCTATAACGAATGAGCATGAGACGAAATCGAGATTGAAAAAGACTTAAGTTCATTGCACATTGTATTATCGCCGAGGGCGAGCTACGAGTACGTAACCGTCACATATACAATACATAATATTAAATTTTATTCTATTACCATTCAATCGCATCAATCGATTCAAAACCGGCAATGTCAAATTATAATTGAATAGGATTAATGTATTCATTCGATTATTTTCACTTGATATGGATTACATAAAGGTCAATTTTACAAAGGTACTTAATTAACTGGAGTTTAACATATCGCTCATCCAATAGAACAACGACGTAATTACCAAAAAGTTGAAAATGACTTTTGATTGTCATAAGTTCTTATTTCGAAAGTTCTATCTATGACAAAAACGGCATAATTATATTTACGGTAGTTTTCGATAGATGGAGTGAAGACATTAGGGAATTGACGTATTTTTCAAAAGGATACTCGGAAACATCGACATATTTGTCACTCGTGCGGGGCGCCTCGCGAAGTGAGAACGTGTGGGGAGTTAGTGCGACATAAATGTAAGTTATGACAAACTATGTCAATTTTATTGGTAGAACAATGACGCAATTGACAATTATGTCATTATGTCAATAAAACTGCATTAAATCGTTTGATTATATGACACAATTGCCAAATACGTTCCTGTTCTGACAAATAACATATAAAAAGGTAGGTACATAATTATTTTCAAGTGCATACTTATTTTAAATATGTATAAGTATATTATGTTATTTGATATTCTTATTGACTCGCATATTGAAAATACTGATAAATTACTTAATATTAAACTATGATTAACGTATTATCATTAATACGTTAATTATACTTTCTTTTTGATCATACCTACATGATAAATGCTATTCTATGTATTCAATTTTTATGTCTTTTTTTGTTATCAAGAAGATTCTAAAAGTTTTGTGGTACTTTATTTATTTAATAAAAATGGTGTTGTTTTAGACCATAAATATAAATAATATGTCTAGGCCAAAAGAATCAAGCAGATGGTAAAGTTGGTAAAGATGGACATGTACCTCAACCTTTTTCTTATAACATCCAGGACAGAAATTGACAGCAATGAATAATCCTATAAAATTGAAACGTAAGACTATTATTTTCTTCCTTTTTAATTTTCCTTCTTGAAATGACCAGTTCTCAGAAAAGTCTGTGTTTTTAGCTGAAATTGAAGGTCAAAGTGGAACTCAGAAAAGGAATCTGTCGTCAGATATGGAAGAAGAATATATCAAAACAACTGAAAAATTCTGGAAAAGAATACATTTCCCACACCGGAAAAAAGATTGCAAGTAAACTAATAATACCGCCATGCGACTGTAGATTACAATGTAGGAACAAGTTTTCAGAGGATCAAAGAAAGGAGATATTTAAAAGTTATTGGAATTTGGCATCTCTTCAAAGACAGAGAAATTTTTTATGCACGTGTATAGAACCTATAAATATTTCATGTCGTCGTATAAAGAACCTAGACAAACCTAGAACACCTAATTGCTCATTTTCATTATTAAATAACGGTCAATGTTTTAAAGTACGCAAAAATTTTTTGTTAAACACTCTCGGAATTACTGAGAGAACACTAAGAACTGTAATCGAGACCAGAAATTATAATGCTGGCATGGCCCCTAAAGATAACAGAGTTAAACATGGGAATCATAAAAAAAGAGATCCAGAACTTGTACAATCTGTTAAAGACCATATTAATTCAGTGCCACGGATTGAATCGCATTATTTAAGAGCTAACACGTTCTAGAGAATTTATAGATGGTGGTCCAATTGCTGAATTACATCGTAATTACAAGACACAACGTTCTTCTCTACAGAAAGAAGCAGTAACTTACGACGTCTACGCAAAAATTTTTAAAACTGATTTTAATATATCTTTTTTTTTCAAAGAAAGATCAGTGCGATCTGTGTAAATCTTTCAAAAATGCCGTAGGTGAAGGCAAAGACAAGTTGCTCCTAGAATATGAGTTACATCAAAGAGAAAAACAATTAAGTCGTAATGAAAAATCCAAAGATATAGAGACCTGTAACGAAGCCAACAGTAATACCCCTAGTCTTTTATTTATGATTTGCAGGCAGTAATGCCAAAACCAATAGGTGAATCGTCTGCTTTCTACTACAAGTCAAAACTCAACTGCTTAAATTTTACTGTAAGTTATTATTAAAGTCTTAAATTTAATTTCATTATATACAGTTATCTTAATAATTATAAATGGCATTATTACTTTTATATTTCAGATATCTGATTAAAAGAATAAAATAACTGATAGTTATTTTTGGCATGAGGGATTGGGCAATCGTGGTGCAATTAAAATAGGTTCATGTGTTTTAAATTTTTTAGAAAAGATTGCCCTTGAAAGTCCCAACATAAATATTATATTCTATTCTGATAATTGCTGTTGTCAGTAAAGGAATAGGTAGGTTTTAAGTGCACGGAATGAATTCTGATATCAACATTAGTCAATACTGTTATTATTCGATATTTGAATGTTTATATTTTCTGATACTTACTAAGCATGTATGCGTATGCAGCAAGAACATTGGCAATTAATTAAATTACCCATAAGTTTTTAGTGAGAGGTCATACCCAAAATGAAGGAGACAACGTTCACTCCATTATTGAAAAGACCATTAAAAATTCCAAAAAGTCAGGCTCCATATACGTTCCCGATCAATATATTCAATTAATAAGAAACGCTAAAAGAAAAGGCAAACCTTACGTCGTCCATGAATTGAATTTTTCAGATTTTATTGATTGGAAGGATTTAACTGATCAATTATCTATCAATTTCAACAAAAATCTTAATGGAGATATTGTCAAGTTGTCGGACATTCGACTAATTAAATTTATTAAGGGATCTGATTTATTTATACAAGAGATCATACGACGATACAGCAGAATAGATTCAATGTGGTATGAACATAGGATCTAAAAGACGAAATTCGCCGAAATTCGCCGAAATTCGCCTGAAAAACGCATATAGTGCTAAACTTTGTATTTCAGATCGTAAAAAAGCTGATTTGTCGCGTTTAATAAATACTAATATCATACCAAAATATTATGAGGCTTTTTATAATTCTATTTTGTAACAAGTTTAATTTTGAGTTAAATGTCTATTTTCTTGTTTAATTATTTTTTAAGCAATTGTGATATTATTTTATGTTCCTACTTGATTTTATGCTTTTTAAAATTATATAAATATAAGCAGGTTTATAAATATAAAACTGCATTGATTATTTTGTTGTTTAAATTCATGTTTTATTCCCATTTCATAACATAGTTTATGTCATAATTGTTAAATTTCATTTATAAAATGGCATAAGTGTACGTCAGGTTTTGTTATAATTGTATTTTTTAATAATTTTCATGAGTTTTCTAAGGAAGTTATTATACATTTTTATTGACAGCTAGAGTAACATTCATAAATATTAAAAAAAATCATTAGAATGATTTAATACACATTTTATTTTAAGCTTCAAACTTTCAAAACGTTCTCCTGAAAAATAGCTAAAACGTAATTACGTCATTGTTCTATTGGATGAGCGATATCTCTGTCTTTTATAAAAAAATACATACTTCTTAAATCAATGAGGGCTTTTTAAATACATAATATGTTAATGTTTGTAATTTACTAATATATTATAAATTTGTAATTTACTAATATTATAAATGTGAAAGTGTGTATGTTTATTTGTTTGTTTGTCCTTCTTTCACGTCGAAACGGAGTGATTGGCGTGATTTTTTGTGTGGAGGCTGGAGAATGACATAGGCTACTTTTCACCGCGGGAGATTATCTAAGTCCCACGGGAAAACACGTTATAATACAATAAAAAATAATATTTATGATCAGAATTACTTGAAACTTGGTATTAATGCTCTTCAATAAAATTAAATAAATACGTGTTTTAGCATTTTTCGAAATTCATCCTATAAGGGGGTAAAATAAGGGCTGAAAGTTTGTATGAAACTACTTTTTTAGATATTTTTCTGTAGTTTTAGCGCGAGCGAAGCCGCGGGTTCTGCTAGTAGTCAATAAAAAAGAAAAATATCTGTGTTAATTATAATGAAACGATAGTGAAATAAAAGCCTTTAATATTTCATGCGATGATAATATTGATTGACTGTAGCAAAGAAATTTTATTTTTTCAATTTTGACTTCTGAACTTGATTGGCGATATTCAATATCAAGTTTGGCGGCTTTTTAACCCACTTTACAAAAGAGCAAAGGGCCGACGCAACTTTTCGTATTGCGTAAGCTTATATATGTCGACGTATAGATAAAGTCGCAATTTAATTGGTTTTAATTTATTAAGCTTTCATTAAAGCTTTTTTAAATATGCTCCAATTTATCACTGCACTCTAGTTACTAAAATATAATTTTCTTGAAAGTTATTTCTAGATCTAAGGAGCTGCATCATAAGTATAGCCAGAGGGTATCGTGATCCTCACGCTTGTTATGTAACGCCTGCAATAGAAAATGGATAACACTAATGACAAGCGATATATAAAATGTATTAGGGGCCGCACGAGTGCCACTACATGATCGAGCGGGGCTAATAAGATAAGAGCTTGTGATTAAAGTTGAACTTTCACAAAGCTCTAACTTCTTATGTTGATTATAAGTACCAACGTCAATTATAAAATGTAAATATGACATCAAATGAGGCCTATTCTGCGTTATATAACTTTTTTGTTCACATATCCTCACTAGAGTGGGCACTTGATGGGTAATTTGTGTAAGTAGGGACATGCTTTCAGTACTAAGATCTTACGATCTCAGCATGTCACCAAGCAGCATGTTTCGCGATGTACATTAAGGAGAAAAACATTTTGCGTCGCATTCTCGTCATTTTCGTTGCTTTAGCAACAAAGCAATTACTACCTTCAATCATGATAAATTAAACAATTTTAAGTTAAATCATACAAATTAGCTTGAAACTAAGAAGTTAACAGCTAACAAATAGGTAGTATTCTTTTATCGCAAGCACACATTCCTTTTATATCTGTTAAAATTATATTTTATGTTTCAGAAAAGCTCAACGTACTAAAGCTTAGTCGTTTTAAGAGCAGATATCAGAAACAATTTTCTTTTAAGGAATTCTTATCACGAATTCCTCGTTTAGGGAGAACTTTCTCTGATAATGCTATAGGATTTGAGTGGTGTAACTACTACCTCTACACTGAGCGCCGCTTCGCTATCGAAATAATTACCTCAATCCATATTAATTACGTCCTAGAACTTTCTAATGCCCAGATAAATAGCACCATGGTTGGTAATTGGAAGTGGATAATGAGACAGCTATGGATATTTCAGACGAATAGCATTTGTCGTCATTAAACATATTTATCTTACGTTACCACTTACAACATTTATCAAAACTAGTTTATCCCACTGACTTCGTTTACTCGGTATTGCTTCATATACGTAAGTTTCAACGCAACTTTTTCTGTCCAGTTACTTAATCATGCGAAATTACCGGTATTGGCAATGGTGTCTGCGATGGCCTTAGAGGAAAAAATGGTTTAATTCAAAGAAATGGATAAAAACTATCCTTACGCTAATAATATTATTTATTACGTAGGTATTAAATTTCACTCTTTTTCTACCTAAGGCAATTCTTACGATTTTCTTCTAATATTACCATCCTGACAATTTCTTTTTTTTTCTTTATTAGTGTAAGTTAACTCTAAGATTTGCGTAATAGCATTATTTATAATTTATATTAAATAAAAATCTTGACTGAAGAAGTACTTTACATTTGTATGTTGAATGTGTCGTTTGTTGACATTGATTAGCTTTTACCTCCATTGATAGGATCATTTCAATCATCTATGTAAAAATACCAATAAAATAATTCAGATCAATTCTTCTAAAAATTCTTATCTTCTCAATATTGGTTACCGTACTAAGTTAGTTCCATTGATTATTTCCTTACATAATGCACGTTACTTAACCGCGAACATTTAACAGGTCGTACTAAATATATAATTATAGCACTATATGATTATTCACGTTATAATTTGCATAGGTATGATAAAAATGATTTATTACCTATTCGCTGCTTGTATTACAATTTACTACTAACGAAAATTTATGTTAAAAAAAAGGATACATTACCGGAGCCATTGCAGAGAATTGTTAAATTAATAAGCTTCATGTCAACTTACCTGTAAAAGAAAATGAAAATAATTAGAAAAAATATCTAGAACTATAGATATTTACTTCAGAAATATTTAATAACTTTATCATGTATTTATTAATTCTTTAGATTCACATAAAAATAAG